TATATATATTCAAAAGTGTCCACATTTGCGTTTTCCAAATAGACTACCGGTACATGTATTTTTTACTTCTTCTAGTCATATAAGTATAAGGCCCAAGTCTCAATTTAAGGGGTCTTTGATTTCCCACAAAGGAAATTGCCATTCCAACGTCAAAAATAAATGATGAGTCCTAGATATCATCTAGCCTACGTCCTGGCAGTCTTACTTAAAACCAAATTTAAAAGATATTTCAAACGATCTTTGAACACAAACAAAGTATGCAAAGATCCTATCCATAATGACAGAGTGATTATTCTATGTGTGTGTGTGTGTGTGTCAGTGTGTATATGCGCATGTGTGCCTGTGAAGATCTTTGGGGGGCTCTGATCTTGGCCTGCTAGAGGTTAAGGTGTTAGCCTCTCATTCAAAGGTCTCGGGTTCGAATCCGGGTAGCGACCGAAAAATTTTATTCTCTAAAATTGTCTCCTTTCACCTCCTTTCCTGCTCTCTAGATTCTAGCAATGTTCTGTTGTCAGCTTTCGTTTCCACTTTCTGTCCCCACCCCCTCACCTCCTTTGCCCCCTTCTCTGAGCTCCTGACTCTTTCTGCAGCCTTTCTACTGTTTCTTGGCTCCTCCAAACTGCTGTCTTTCTGCCACACCCCTGATCTTCTGGTAGGAAAGATCTACACCTAGCCTTCTCGGACAAGGGCGAAAAATCTCGGAAGGCCCGTGTGCAAGTTGCGCACGTTAAAAAGACCCCTTGGTGGTCTAAAATCGATAAGAGTAGGCTTCGGCCGCCACCCGGGCAAAATTCAAAATTTCCTACCAACTGAAAATATTAGGTGTCAGATGTGTCCCGCGCGCTCATATGACCTTATGCAGTTGCGAGCGCCGTAAAAACACTTACCAAAACAAAAAACAAGAAGATCTCTGATCATTTATGTCTAGCCGTTTAAAAGGAGGTACAATGTAACTCTATGGTCTAGCCTAAGCTAAGCACGACGCCTTTGGCCTCTCACGTTCTAAAAGCCAGTAAAAGGCCTACTAGGCCTAGGCCTAGATCTAGCCTACTATCACAACTTTCATAGCAAAAATCATGGTGAAAAATAGACATCCGATATCGTTGCAATTGTCGACTCGATACTTTGTTGACAAAAATTTTGTCTCGTGTCAAGAGTCAACAACACCCAATAAGTTCAACTTAGTGACACAGTCATAGATCTAGACTAGATCTAGTGGTATTTTTGTATCCTGTATAACTAGATCTAGATTCTAGATCTAGATCTAGATCTAGGCCCTATATAGTCTGCTCGAATCCGGTTTTATTTAGGTTAAAAGCAAGGACTGTGTAGCCTAGACCTAGTGTGTATTATTCGCCAGTGGGTTGTAACAATCGCCACTAGATTTCTAGACCTCTAGAAGATCTAGATTCTAGTGTCTAGATCTAGATTCTAGATATATAGAGATCTGGACTCTAGAGTCTATATTTTTTTACTGACAGTGACAGTACATTGTACTGACCAAAGGATAGAATCTAGGCTAGAATCTAGACTAGACGTGCCAGTGCGTAGTGAAGCAACTAGAATTTTAGTTTGATTCCACGATTGAATTGACTATGTCCCAGGCCCAACACACCGCTGAAGAGAGAATGGGTAATCATCATTCCAAAAACACTCGTAAGTAGGGCTAGATCTCTTTCATTACCTTTGTAAACCCACTTTCTTTCTTATAAAAAAGGCTCTTTGTTTTAGTATAGATCTAGATCTAGATCTAGATCTAGGTTTCACGCCCTCGCAACTGCATGTCATATAAGTGCCCCCCCCCCCCCCAAAAGGTTGTAAAATTAGATCTAGATTAGATCTCTAGTAATTTAAAATTCTCTAATAATGAATAGCATTTGCTAAACATTTCCAGTTCTGATTTTCTTTTTAAAATGCTTAGATCTAGTCTAGATTCTATATCTGTATTATATGCGCATTGCATTAATTTATCGCAGTGGCTACGTAATACGTTCTGGGCGCTGTGAACGTACTCTGCTGGCGACGTTCACGGTGCCTTGAACGTAGTGACTTTGGCAGGTTACGTTCTTGGCGCCCTGAATGCTGTTTGCTGTTGAGGCTATGTTCTCGGCACTAAAACTTCGTTTAAGAGGAGCGCCCACTGCTGGTTTAAGTCTGCCGGTTTTAGTCAGTGACGACTGTGACGTATAATTAATAAATATTGGCCAGCTTCAAGTTCAAGTGTTCCATCCCATGAACGTAGCCACTGCGTTAATTTGTAAAGATATCGAATGTCTCATGAAATAAGACAAACTCAAAACTATTTAAGACTTAATGGGGGGGGGGTTGGCAAAACTGAACAGAGATCTGGGCCTGATTTAATTAGTTCGTGAAATTTTTATCTCGAACCGCTAGGCCAAAGCGTGCATCATGTCAATGTACGCACAATGTGTTCAGAGTTATGCACCCACGTATTATAACACACATACACTCCTGTCCTGTGATATTTCTCAGTACTCTTCCGACTACTATTTGTATGCTTCGTCAATGACCTCCCTGAAAATATCCCCTCTGCTACTTTTCTGTTCGCGGATGATACGAAGATTTTTGCTGAAGTACCCGACTTTTCGGACAACCTCCAGGATGACTTGAACAGACTCCAGCTCTGGTCTGATGCGTGGAAATTGAGGTTTAATGCAGAAAAAATGCAAGGTCATGCACATTGGGGAAAAATAGAAACCCATGCGAGTACAAGATGACATCCAGAGGTGAACGCATCACTCTAGAATCTGTGAGACTAGAAAAAGACCTAGGTGTGAATATTGATAGTGATCTAAAATTCAGCAAACATGTCAGTATCAGGTCAACAAAGCTAACAATCTTCTCGCACCGATCCGGAGAGGTTTCACAATGCTGGACAAAGTGTCCCTTTCTACTCTGTACAGATCAATCATTCGTCCTCATCTAGAGTATGGAAATGTGGTCTGGCACCCCAGACCTAAAGGTGATGAAGAACAACTTGAAAAAGTGCAACGTCGGGCCACCAAACTAATTCCTGAACTACAGCACCTTGCTTACTGCGATCGTCTCAGAAAATTGGATCTGCCATCGCTGTACTATCGGAGAGCTAGAGGCGACATGATTGAATGTTACAAGTATTTAACAGGAATTTACATCGTAACGGGAGATATTTTACCCCGCGATCTTCACTCTAACACCAGGGGACACAGTCTAAAATTGGAAAAAAAACATGTGAAAACAGTTGTCCGCCAAAATTTCTTCAGCGTACGCACAGTTAAAGCTTGGAATTCCCTGCCGGAAAATGTGGTGTCTGCACCATCTTTGGATGCTTTCAAGAATAGGATTGACATGGTCTGGAAGGAACATAAATTCTCTATGAACCTAGATTGGTTTCAAACTGCCAGATCCATGTCCCATGAGCACTAACCTACAGATACCAGAGTCTGAAAACAACGTGCAGGAAGGAATAAGCAACGAAAGCAACGAACGGCTGATAGGCGACTAGCCTGAACACAGCCGTACTTCATACTACTACTACTACTACTACTACTCCTACGTACCCCCGTCCATCTCCGTCTGGTATTCATCCATCTCCGTCTGGTATTCACAGCAATACATGGGAGGCATTCCCGTAGACAAGAATGACAGCAGGTGCACCCATGTGTATCTAATAGCATCTATCATTCTACGTCTACTATACTATGCATTTTTATTGTTTTTTGCATACCAGGAAGGATAGAAATAAAAGGTAGCAAGTGTGCAACAGCTTTTTAGTTTTACGGCTAGATATTGTTGGAGTGAAATGCCGACTGAAAATTAGGATATATAAAAATTAAGCCTATCAATGTCTACTTGAAGTCCAGTGTGTCTCATGACAAGAAGAGCATACATAGGATATATTATACTAATTGGTTTCTACTATTTTTCTAATAAAGCAACTTGTCTTTTTATTTTCCCACCACAGGAATACATTTTTCAAACTGAGACTCTGCTAAAACAAAAAGCTAGGCGAAGGATTTTTCAGACAGAAAAAGTCACACAGCCTTTATATTGTGAGACAAATAGTGACATCTGTTCAATTAAGTTTGAAATGGGTAATTGACTTCCTCAACCTTCTGTCACTGTGACACCCTCAGATATATGAAGGCTACTTTTTGACCTGCAGAAGCAGCATTAAATTCCTTGTCAAAAAATTCCTTTAATGTGTACAGTAAAAAGAATCTGAAAGTTGTCAGGGCTTCATTATGCATCTGTTATACTTACTGATACTGAACGATAGGTTGAATTAGATTAGTAAACAATAAACCAACACATACATTGAGGTTATAATGTAACTTCTTATCAGTAAAAATCAATGTTTTAAAAAACACTAGATAGCAAGTCTATTCTTGTCTGTTTTCACCTTTTTTTAACCCTTTGGCTTTGGTATTTATAAAGTGCTTGGTTACTTGTGTCTAAGTTTTTCTTACCCTTGGTTGTGCGATGATACATGTTTGACACTGCTCTATTTTTAACTGTTAAAAATGGTAATCTTGGAGAGGAGTAACAGGAAATGATGTACAGATAAATAAGTGGAAAGACATAGAATTATCAAAAAGCTAGCCAAAGATAGAAAAAAGTGGACAGTGTTTATCAGTGGCTTATACCCTGATCCAGGCTGAGAAAGGCAATGATGATGAAAGGTTAATGTAAGAGATGCCTACCTGTACCAGTGGTCATTGAAACATGTGTAGAAAAATAAGCTGTCCCACTTGACTTGTGGATACCCACGGGAGCAAGAACCTTTTAAGTTGGTTACACAAGTATGTCGTGGGGGCTCAGTCACATGATAAGACAGTTACCTTGGCCTCAGACCTTAAGTTCAGAGATTGTTGAAAGAATTTGCAAAGACTCTGGTCAAGTGTCCTCCTAATATTGGCTTTTTCCTTTTCCTTTGCTTGCGTGAATGGTTTAATGTACAATGCGTGACAATATTTCAAATGCAGCCTGTAAGTAATCCCTGACAACAGGTGTAGTGATCTACTCGTTGTTCCAAAAATTTGTGGTAAAAAAGTAATCATAACCTGTGATTTCCAGTATTGGTCAAAAAGTTTGATGTAATATTAAGATGGCGAATGTGATTCCAACAGAAAAAAATGAGGTTAACATGAACTTATCCAGGGTTATGTATCGGTATACAATGTACTTTTAACTGAATTACAAAAGGCGTTGCTGAGGGCTGTTATAACTATCGCCATTCAGTCTTCACCGTTCTCAGACCTTATGTTTTCACATCCTGGTGGGAAGTGCTTATATTCACCATTGCAGGACTATGTCAAACCGAATACATACATGTACCACTGCCAATATTATAGACATAATGAGAACTTATGAAGTGTTATTTATCATTAATGGGTTGGGGTGAAGAGAAATGTTTTCCCCCCCACCAGGGTAGTGCTACTGACTGAAGTGTCTTCAGGCCATTCCCAAAGGGGGGATATTAACATATATGTTCTTATGAACAGTAGAATTGTAAATGGACTGATTTATCAATGTCATGCTCATACTGTGGCGGAACAACTTAGGGGGAACTGCTGCTTTTTCTTTCTTCATCCTTACTATCGTCATTTTTCCTCTACTTCTTTTGTATGTTTGTCACTCTCTTGTGAACTGCGATTTCCAGGATGCCTTGATATTCGAAGCAGACTTTGTGCTGTTGAGGCTAGAGAAGTGAGTAAAGTAAGCCTGATTCTCCGTTTGGACTTCTCTGTTGGTATCCACCCCTTGGCGCTCATATGACCTTATGCAGTTACGAACGCCATAAAAACCTTACTAAAACTAAACAAAAAAAAGAAATGTTTATTACTGCTTTTATGTCAAAACAGATCCAACTTAATATTTGCTAGTGTAGTGCTATCAACGTGATACTTTGTTGATCTTCTGCATTTTCTGGTGTAGACATGATAATGCAGTTCTTTGAAAGGAACATCTCTTTGTATAGTATGCTAATGTGTTGTTATCTTGTTTTTAGCCAATGAAGAGCCCTTGACTTGTATGATTGTCGGTGCTGGGAGCCGTGGGACAGCCTACTCGAGATACTCTGTTCTGTTCCCAGAGCAGCTGAAGGTGAGATCTTTAATTGTTAGGTTCTGTGAAGAAGATTTAAGGCTACAGTGTCTCTAGAAATTTTATGAATTTATTTTTCCTGGAATTTAGAGATACCTTGGTGGTAAAGAGAAATGTAATCAGCATGAATGTCACCTCAGATTTACTTGGAATAATTTCAAGTCCCATTCAGTCGAAACTGCCCTAACAACCACCTGTCCAAGACACTCTTGGACATTATTATGACATTTAGAAAACATGAAACAGGTTATTGACTTGGAAGGGTGGTCAGTAGAAAAGGTTATACTGTATTTGGAACCCTTATGCACATGGTAGATTTTGAAAACATAATGTATTTTTGTTATATTCGTTGTCTTGTTTGAGTGGAATATGAACTTTTTTTCATTGTTGATGTTATTATTGTTATCTTTACTTAGGTGGTTGGACTGGCAGAGCCTCATGAAGGAAGGAGAAATAAGCTATTAAAATTGGGAACCGTACCTCCAGAAAATGTGTTTACTGGTGAGTTGTTGAGTTGATTATACTTCCATTTTATTCTTCTCCTCCTCCTCCTCCTCCTCCTCCTCCTCCTTCTTCTGTGTACCTCTCCTCCTCCTTCTTCTGTGTACTTCTGCGAAAGCTCATGGAGTATCAGACTGTAAGATCTTCCTCTCACAGTGCACTTAATTTTTACTTTCATGGACATTTTATCTACATTGAACGTACAATCATATCTTGCCAAACAGGCAGCTTTATGCCATTTTCAAAAGTACTGGTAATACTTGTACTGAATAGAATGGCTTCAGCTTTGGGTATGAATTAATTATACGCCTAATGAATTTTCCTGGGACTGTGGCCCGAAAGCCATACTCTTTTCAATTTTGGAACCACAATGGGGTGTGATGTGCCATTTGAACTTCCACGCTTGACCTCTAAAATTTGTCGTACTTATTGTAGAACACTAGAAGCTGTATTTTACTTATCCTAAGATCAAGGGGTGTAGAAAACATTTGAAAAAATAAAATAGACATAGACGGGGATGGAACTTGGGTCCTCCAGGTTGACAGGCAAACATGATACATGTTGAGCAACCAAGCCCCTTTACCAGTTGAAGGAAAGCCAAGCATACAAATTTGGGTGAAATTGGCTTTTTTGTATTGATTCAATCCTGATATACCCCAGCACATGCCTGAACTTGAATACCTGTACCCTTCTGTACACTGAACGGCCCCCTGTCTTTTTTAGTTTGGAAGAGTTTTATGGCACTATGGCACTCGCAACTGCATAATGGCTATCTTGGACAAGCTCATTTGTTTTAGTTTGGTATAGTTGTCTCAATATTCAACAAGTACAATTATTACTGATACCGAAAAATTGGAATAAAAAGGTTGACCCCTGAAATATTTTTTGTTGGATACGTTGATTTTCAGTGCAAATGGCAATATAGACCATGTGGGAGCTTTATTGACTCTTCTTGAGATATCATGATTATTAATTTAATATTTTCTGCTTTTTGCTACATGCTTTTCCTTCTTCTTAAATACAAGGAACTTGTCATTAAGTATGTTTTATTTCTCTGTCAGATTGGCATGATGCAGCCAAAAGGGAGAAGTTTGCCGACTTTGTGGTCATCACCACGGTGGACCAGGACCACAAGGTAAAAGTTCTTGTTGCTAGCATTAAAAGATTTATTAGGAACCAATGTACTCTTGGAGAGTTCTATTGAAATATGAAAGTTACGTGGAGGTTGAATTCCTACAATGCAATTTGTCTTAGTTTTACAGGAGAATCAAAATGATACACTTGGCTCACTTCTAAGTAGAGGCTGTATTCTCTGATTCTGATTGCTAAAATGGCTGTTTTTTCGATAAAAGGAAATCTTTAGTCAGTTTGGAATTTGTTGTTTTTGTCTGAACAAAGTAACCTGCCATGTTTATGACTGTTGTATGTTTTAAATATTTTTTATAAATAATTTGTATTTTTTTTCAGGATCCAGCAATTGCATTTGCTCGACTGGGATACCATATTCTCTTGGAAAAGCCTATGGCAGTAAGTTTTGCTAACACACGTTAAGAAGAGTGCAGTATCACTGTCTTGAAACAGGTTTTTTACTCACACACAGAAGACATGAGAAACAGCTGTGATAAATGCTTCACATCCATGCCTGTACAGTGAACGCTTGGGTTTTCACCTAGATGGGGATGTGGCTGGAGTCTTAGCTTTCTGTCCACTTTCCTTCACGAAAGTTTGACCAATGGTGTCAGAGAAGAAGCAGAAAGTGAGACGCATCAAACGTTCCATTTGTCTTGTATTAGAAAAACAACAAATTATATATATTATATTCTGTAACTTGAAATTAGTTTCTAGGTTTATCATCTCTCATTAAGTTACTTGCTAATTTTTGATAAAGATGAAATAATCATACAGTGTCCATATCTTGTCAAATAAGTTGCCCTTCTAAAATTACTACTGTTTTTATTTGCAAAATAAAAAATTGAAACAAAGAACAATTTATGTACTCTCTCTCTTGCCCTTTTTAACTCCCAGTGGAGCACAGGCCATCAACAACATTACTCCAGCGAAGCCTGTCCTGAGCATCCTTTTCTATCTGTTTCCATGATGTCCCCGCTTTACTCCATATTCTCTCCTCTCCTCGGTGATGAAGGTCCTCCATCTTCTAGAACTGGCGGTCGTGTTGTTTTTGCTGTTGATGTTTTTGTAGCTGCTTTTTGTTTTATAGGAAAGGGCTGCTAACCCTTTGCCCGACCGACCTTAGTCGCCTTCTACGACATGCGCGGTACGGATACAGTGGTCCTATTCTTTGCTCCCCTGTCTCTTGAACAGAGCCCCGAGAATTTATGTACTCTCAGTATCAATAAATAAATGGACTTTGGACTTCTTTACGTTGATGATGTAGAAAAATAGGGATTCAGAGCTAGAAGTTAAAACTGATTTTCAAAGCATTCTTTTATCTCTTTTGGTTGCTGTAATAGGTCACAGAGGCGGACTGTCGAGAAATTGTCAGTGTGTGCAATAGTTGTGGGGTCAAGTTGGCAGTTTGTCATGTACTGCGCTACACCCCTTGGGTCTGCAAGATCAAGGAAATCATCGACTCTGGAGATATTGGAGAAATTGTCAGCATTAGGCATACGGAACCTGTGAGTGAGAAAGGTTGTATTTAGAGTGTGGAGAGAGATATTCAAATTGCTTGAAATTTTCTTTGTTCAGATATCGTCATTAACTCTGAGTAAACCTATTCTGTAAACGAGTTTAGTATAAAAGATGTTCAATTTTGAGTTCTATTATTAGTAAGTTTTATTTTTTTAAGAGAAAGAAATGTTCAAGTTTCTTACTAAAAGCAACATGTACAGAATTGTTGAAGAATTCCTTTTTCTTACAGATTGGATACTGGCACTTTGCCCATTCATTTGTGAGAGGTAACTGGAGGAACGAAGCAACGAGCACCTTCTCTCTGATGGCCAAGTCGTGCCACGACATCGATCTCATCAACCATTGGATGTCCCCACATCGCTGCCAGCGTGTCTCTTCTTTTGGAAAGTTGTCACATTTTACAAAGGAAGATAAGGTGAAGATATGGAGTTGGATTGTGTTCATCAAAAAATAAAAGGCTTTTTGACTTGGGCTTTTAAGAAACTCCATCCGTATACGGTACTTTTTAGTATTTAAAAATTCAAAGTTTAAAGTTGGACTTTCTTGGAATATCATGCTTCTGCTTTCCTACCAAACATCTATCATTTTTAACTATCCTCCTTTTTTTGTGTTTGTTACTTTCTTCTAACACCTCTAATCTTCGACTATGACCCAATTATGTTGCAAGTGTCGTAAAACTCTTACTAAAGCTGAAGAAAACAAGTTGATAGGTCTATGTATGATTTCCTTTCCATTGTATCTATTCTTTATTGGTAGAAAAATTTTAAAAGTAAGACAACAGCTTTCTGACAGGTCTTCAATAATGTAAATCTTGGCAACTACTTTGTACATCAATATAAATACTTGTACATCAATATAAATACAGTCTAGTATGCACACAACGAGCAAATTTTCAGATCTCGAATTTGTTCTTATACATTACATTCTTCGTGTTTAACTCACTAGAGACGTTTCACGCAGCATTTGCAAGCACCAATATTTTCCCACAAGCGCTGAAATAAAGTCTCGCTTTTGTGTCATATTGGACATGTTTAGATCTGTTATGTGTGTAAAAATGATGGTTTTATGTCTTTGGGAAGGGTGTTATTTGAAATAATGAAATACCCCCCAAAATGCCAGTCTTCAGCACATGTAGACTCGAAAAAGGCCCAGTCTCCAGTGAGTTAAAAGGTATGTTGCGAAATTCGTTCATAGTGAAAAGAATTCTGTGTTCAGCGCATTTTACTATGTGTGTGCTTGACTGTAAACAGGTATTATATTTTTTGGAGGGGGGGGGGGGAAATCAACTGAGGGCTGTTGGAGTTTTGATTCGGGGCATGTCATGGCCTCAGCCCTGAAGCCCCATAGCCAGTGAGTCTAGCCCTGTCTGGTTTGGTTTGGTAAGGTTGTAGAGTACCTAGCATTAACCATGGGTGGTTGGCGGGTGCTCTGGTATAGTTTGCTCCTTCCTTCCTATCAGACATCTATCATCTTTATATCTCTTCTCCTTCTTTCTTGTATTTGTTACTCTCTTGTAACACCTTTAATCTTCGGTACTTATACAGTGGGTATCGCTTTCAATGAGGTCACATTCAACGAGAAGTCGGCTTCAACGAGGCAATCCTTAATCCCCTATTTTTTCCTCTATATCTCTTTGTAAATGAACGTCAGCTCCACCGAGGTTGCAAACAGACCGAAGTCGCTTTTAACAAGGTTGCAATAACCAAATAAAAGCAATTAACTGCCCCCAAAACGAAGAAATTTTCTCCTTTCTCTCCCTCTCACGTGAAGCACCAAGGCCCATCCTCGATTCCTAACACATTGTATTGCTAGATCTAGTGTGCCTCGTAATATGGGTGCCAAAGCAAAGAGGATGGGCGAGGGTTAGCCTAGGGTAGGGATGGAACGGGGTGGGTGGAAACTCGATGCGGGCTGTGTGAAACTGGGTGAACTCTGGATGGGTAGGTCCAGATCAAGACCTACATTTTATTTCAATTTTCTTTTCTACCCCTGATCAGAAAATCCAAGCTCCCGCCTTTACTTCATGTAGATCTAGGCGTAGACGTGAGAGGGTATGTTTCCACACGTGAAGTGTTTTAGAAAAAAACTAAAAATGCAGAAATCACGGTCAGGGCACAGCTCTAACAGGCGCACACTGATGCTGTTTGAGATTTTCATCATCCGGGGCACGGCGCACCGGCAGTGGAATTTTAGTTGCCGCGGGGGGTTCCCCGCCGGGCGCCTTAGCACGTTGGGGTCACGGGGGTCAGCTCCCTGTCGCCGCTCTGTCTGGGCTGACTTAATTTTTGGTACTTTTCAATGTACAATTTAAGGTGTATCCTTGTATTTATGGTAATTCTCATTTAGTGCACCCAAAGCATGCATTTCTGCTCTTGAGACTCAAAAAAGAACGGACGTTGTAACTTGTCTGGTTATTTTGTTAGACGCGCTGGAGTCGGCAATGCTAAATTGTAATTTTTTTGGACTAGCGTGAATGAAAAAAAAATCAATATAAAAAAAGGGGTCGTTAAAATCTGTCGAACTTTTGGAACATGAACGACATAGCATTGGTACAGATACTCAGAAAAGATGGTATCTGCGCATAATTAAATATAATAGAAAGCTGTAATTTTGCAACTTTATCCATCGGGCACACAATTCGCTATGAAGTAATTCCTCCAAATACAACTTTATGTGTCTAATATAATCGTGAATATTCGCATATTTTCTCGAAAGTTTATAAAAGTCACAATGAAGTTTCTCTATGAAAAGTACTAATCGATTTTAGTGCTAGAATACATCTTCAATGTAGATCTAATACACGAACAGCATCTGTTACATTCCAGAAATTCCTTACTTTTTAACAAACGTTAAGTCTAGGTTTTGTAAGTTGACTGAATAATAGGGATGACCTCTCGTAAATGGGTTTTAAGAATAATTTCTAGCTTTTCAGGGACACTGAATAAGCACCAGACTTTTCCAGCTTTATTTTTCGTTTCTATGACCATTTGCAATAACTGACAATGTGACTGATTTCTTTACATTCATAATTGTGTCCGCGCATATTTCCGACACAAATACTAAGAATGAATGTGTTAGCTGTCATTATTTTTATTCCATACAAGAAGTTTATCTCTACCCATGTATTTACACGGTTTTGAGGTTTTTTTAATCGCTTAGATTCTATATTATATCTTTTAGTTGTATGCAGGCTGCCACAACCACAGGATGATTCATGAACAAACGCAGAGTAATTTTCTCTTGTTTAATAGTAAAATAAGAGCTAACGCTGATCGTCTTTAGTTAAAAAATGCAGATGTGCATCTTTCTTCTCTTATAACTTGACTATTTCTACTTGCGCAGATTTAAGATTTCTCATGTTAAAAGACATGATATTCGTAGTCAGTTTAACACAGATTTTGGAGAGATCTGTCTTGCCTTTTTTAAATTAACAATAATTTATTCATAAGTTTGTAACTGAAATAGGACAAATTGGATACTCTACAAACACTTGTCTAGAACAAAAACTAAGGCACAGAAATTAACCATTCTAACGCAGAATAAATCTCAAGACACTGAGCTTTTAGTACATTCGCGTATTGGTTTGCTGTGTGGGATGGGGAAGAAGTTATATCGTTTTAAACATAGTCAAAAATGCGAACTTCCTAACCGACACCGGCAAAGTCGCTTCAGGGCTTATTAATCCCGTGACTCCGAGCCTGGGAGCTCTGGCGGGCTGCTGAGTCACGCGAACTAAAAGTAACAGAATCGGGCGAAAAGTGACGCCGTGGGGGGAACAACTGTTTTAATTACTGGTATTGGTACATTGTGTAATATAATAACTTTTCTCCTTTCTATACTTTAGCCTTAGTTACATTCAACGAGAGGTCGGATCCAACGAGGACAACAAGCCGGTCCTGGTAACCTTGTTGAATGCGACACCTAATGCGTTTTAAAGCGAGAAAAGCATTAACCAAAAAAAGATTGATGATTTGTGTGTCTTGTGCCCAACAGCCCCCAGGCGCTGCCTCCAGATGTGTTGATTGTCCCATTGAGAGCAGTTGTCCGTACTCTGCTAAACGGCTGTACCTCGATTTTGTTAAACAGGTAAGAGATCAATTGTGATGCATTGTTATGAAATCAAGCGCCCATCAAAATAGTAAAAGTAAAATCAAAGATTCCAGCATTTTTCCAGCGGTTTGGCAATTTTTAACATTTTTTTTTTTTTTTGGCTTCGATGTCCTTTTGAAACACACATTTTCTGTGGATTTTACTGAAGACCATTGATTAAAGGGGGGAAAAAATTTAATTTTCAGTTTTTAAGGACTCTCAAGCTATTGAAGTCCCCAAACGTCGGCTGACATTTCCACGCTTATTTTACATCTGAAACCAGGTAACCCCACCTCCTTCAATCGCAAATGTGTCAGCTCCTATTCAAGTTTGATGGGTCTATTTTTCAACAAAAGGTAGACAAATGAACATGCTTTAAGATGATGACAATAACTCCACATGCTCAAAATTGACGAGCGCCTGATTCCACCGCATCATGACACAAATTTATGTTGCTGTCATTGTGGCTACTATATCATCAGGGATGCACTCCTCTTATTTCGTCTGAGGATTTCTTTTGTGAGATGGATGAAAGAAATTTGTTTCGCAGGAATTTGGTACTATTATAATGAAGTCAGTTGTCAAACAGACGACAACTGTATGTATATATTATATTCTATATATATATGGAGATATACAAGATGTAATAGTACCTGTCTTCAACTTTTGTTTTATAAGAGTCTCCCTTCGTGTTTATGCAGATGGTTTTGTGTCGTTGTTTTGGGGGATTTTTATGAAATGTAGCTTTGATGGAAAGAGAGGTAGAGGCAGACAGAGGGAAAAGATACTGGACAAGATGACAACATGGCTGGGAGCAGCAAGAACAACAGACACAACAGACACCATTGCTGCATCGAAAGACAGATGGAAGTGGAGGTCCATGATCGCCCACGCCAGTCGGCAAGGCACCGGATGATGAGCTGCAGGCCCATAATGTAGTATGATGGAGCCTGCCAATGCTGATGTTATTATATACAGTGGAGATTGTCCAAGAAGGCCACCCATTGTCGAGAAGAACAGAGGCTGTCTTAGACAGGTGGATATCTCAGACATTTTTATTATGATATTTTACCCTTTGAACCCGCTAGCCGGTATACCGTCAGGCCGGTTCACTGGGGCACGGACTACCCTGAGTTGTGTAGTCCGTCAAAAGTACTCTTTTTATTTCTTGTTTGTCGTCTTACACAGTATTTCCACCTTGGAATAAGGTAAACAAGGGAGTGAACAGATGTGTTTATTTCTCCATGTTCTTCCCCTCAGTCTTTTTGTGTATGTGCCCCCAAAACACTTTGAACTTTTCTGAAATTTGCGAAAAATGCCCAGGGATAGAGATTTGAGAAATTTCAAGATTTAGGGTTCAAAGGGTTAAAAATGCAAGGGGGGAAATGGCAGGTGGTATTTGTGTACAGGTGATTTTTTTTTTAGAGGTGACTGATAGAGCAAGTTTGACTGTATAAGCAGTCAAAATTATCTAAGACAGCCTCCTATTGTTGAGGAAAAAATGGTTGTCTTAGATAGGTAGATGTCAAATACAGTGTCATTGTAGAAATGTTTTTAAAAAACACTTTAAGAAAGAAAATGCTGGAATGCTACATCTTCCCCATATTCCTATATGACGCAGAGACCTGTACTTTGACCAGGAAAAAAGAAAACAAAATAAATGCGTTTGAGATGTGGTGCTACCGTAGAATGGCCAGAATAAGTTGGAAACCGAAAAAAGACAAACAAAGAGTTGTGTCATATTCTACTCTCAAGACAAACCCTGCTGAACAAAATTAAATGTAGAAAAATACAATACAATGGCCACTAAAACAACACGAGACCATTGTCAAAAGGGTGCTTGAAGGCAAGATGTGGGGCAGGAGAGCCAGAGAAAGGCAAAGAATAACATGGATGGACAACATAAGGACTTAGGCTAACCTGGATATGGCAGAATGAACAACGGCAGCTCACGACTGTGAAAGATGGAGGGTCATTACACGTCAACATCTGAGTCAGAGATGACACCTCCAGGTGTCCAGGTACTAGGAGGGAAATGGAAAGTGGCCTTTTCTACAGGTGATTGTCTTATAATTATAAAGGTGGCAATTAGATATTAGAGCAGGTTTGACTGGTTAAACTTTCTGTCAGTGTATCAAGAGCTTTGGTAGGTTTTTTAAAGTGGTGGGTTACTGGCCCAATGCACATTTCTCTTTGTAAAGATGAGACTCTGCACTTAGTACGTGGTATCTACCAGCAATTGTTTGCATGTAATTAAAATTTATCTGGTTAATGTTGGAAACTGTTATATGGGTAATTTATCAATTTTTAGGTTGATGCTGGGAGCTATCATAACATGACTCTATTACCTCGTCAGGGTCACACCGGATGGCCTTTGTCTGTGCTGACCAGTGAGGTGGACATTGAGAACGTGACAGATGCTTTACGTACCGGACCCTACGGTAGATGCGTCTATGAATCAGATAACGATGTCGTATCACACCAGGTCAGTGGTCCGCCGCGGCTTTTAGAGATTTGCTCATAATGAAATCTAATAGGCAAATGTGGCTCTCAAAAATAAAAAAGTGTATACACAATGCAGCTTATGGCGACATGTTTTGCCTTGATGTCATTCAGCAGTATAAGATATCCCATTACAAATGAAGTGGTAACAAAGCTTGTAAACAAATCCCTTATTTCTCACAGCAAAACTCATTGTAACTCGCTGTAAGTTGGGCTGCCTCAAAACAAGGTTTTTAAAAAATTCAGATAATCAAAAACAAGGCAGCAAGATTTGATCGTGAGAAAAAAGAATATGTAGAGCCTACCACCCATTTTAAGAGAGTTTCATCAGTTGCCTGTTGAAAAGCGAATTATTTTTTAAATTGGCACCATGTGTTATATGTATTCACAACACCGCAACTCTGTATTTAATGGACTAGTTGCAGGTTTATCATCCCTCCAGAATGCTCAGGTAATTAACTGATAATAAGCCTAGTCGGGCCAGGGGTAAAATTGAAATGTTTCGGAGAAAGCTTTCTTTTTTTTTTTCATTCTGAGCCCGCAGTTTGAATACTATCCAATATATAAAATCAGGCAAGCGGCAACTTTGACACGATTTAACAAGACAGTCTGAAAAGTCGTCTTTTTCACAGCTAATTTGTGACCTAAACAATCTGCAATCAGTTTATTATTGCAGTTTCCCTTTATGAGTGTCATAACATTTTTACCAACAACATATCTAGCCTCTCTATGCGTGTCATAACATTTTTACCAATAACATAATCTAGGGTGACTACTGATCTATTTCATAATGTGATTCCATTATTTTGTAACCATAAAATGTATCACTTTTATCCAACGAATAGACTCGTTTCTTTTCACATTGTGAGTTTTCAACCATAATCATGCTTACTATATCTAATGGTATTCATGTGTGTAATGATTTGCATTTTTATGGTCCAATACTGTTTATTGTAACTGGATTTTTTTTATCAGTGTACCAGTATGTCGAACTGTGTGCATTGTTTTTTTAAGAGTTTTTTTTTTTAGGGGGGGGGGGGGGATTATTCTCGATTGTGCACGTGTCTGCCTAACCTATTTTATTGTAATGCTAATTAAGCATCTTGTGGAGATGAAAATGGACAATAAAAATGCATTTTATTACTGTTCAACATGAAATCTAATTCATGGAATCACATTACCATATTTTATCCTTTTCAGCTTGTGAAAATGGTATTGTCTACACTCCCCACAAGTTTTTCATATATGGTTGAAGTTCTGTTTTTATTTCAATACTTGGTGATTATGTATAAGTAGCCCAAAAAATTACCATATTTTAATTTTATTGGATATACATCTGTTTGTGTCCTTAGCTTCAGATTTGTGGTTCAGTCAAATGTGCAAGGAGTTTTGACGAGGTTTTTTCCCCTTTATATAGGCTTAAACACATTTCACAATCTTAGCATTGAGTATTCTGGAGGGAGGGGAATATGCTCAGTGTTCTTGGATTTGTCAAGTTTACATTTCAAGTATGTTCTCTTTTGACAGGTGGTCAACTTCCAATACGACAATGGTGCTACTGTAGCTTTCAACATGGTGGCTTTCACCAAACGACTGTGCCAACGAGAAGTCTGTGTCTACGGCACTAAAGGCCAAATATCTTTTGAAGACGGCTGGGACAGTGTCCAGGTGTTTGATTTCCTCACAGAACACATCAGTGAGTGCTGCATGTAGTGTCTCTTCCTGAAATGTGAAAATTCCTCCGTCTTTCACATGCACATAATTATTTTCTTTCTCTAAACGTTGCACATGTAAAGTTTTATTATAAAATCCACTTTCAATAGATTGTGTTTTTGGTTATTGATCTAGTAATAAGATAAATTGTTGTTGCAGAGACAAAATGTTTAATTTAATTTACTTAACCAATAAAAGAGAAAAATTCCAGTATTTCAGTCACCAAAATTTATGAGTGTAATGCTTTAATTTTTTTAGTTTTTCTGTTATGATGGACAGAACTTAAAACTTATTAAATTGAAGGAAGTTTAAATTACTTTGTTTTAGTTCCTTATCTCACCTCAAACTTTGAAATTTCTACTCTTTTATCACAGTATATTTTCATAAAAGTTTCAATTTTCTGCTTTTAAATGTTGAAATTTGGATTTTGTGATTGTAGTGTGGGTACCATTTTTGGTTTAATGTCCTCAGACTTGAGTATAACCTCTTTGTGTTTCTATTATTGGAATTGTTTTGCTCTGATTTTTTTTTTAAATTGTGGGCCAGAGGAAAACCCCTTCCAAATACCAGAAATGCAAGAAAAGTCCATTTGTTAGCTTATAGTTTTTCTGTAAAAGAGCTTAACATACAATTGAAGTCTCTTAGGTTTCCCAAGATGGACAGTACAACAGAGTTGCACTGGTGTTTTGTTTGGTTTTGATCTAAGGACAAGTGTTTTCTCCCTGCTCTATCATGCATTAAACTTTTGATCTAGAAATAAAATAGTCCCCTTAATGCATTGTTTTATTTTGTAAAGCAGGCCTACTGTGTGCCTGTGAAAAATGTCAAGGCTCTATTGATAAAAATTGTATGTTTTTGGTGGGGGTTTTTTTGCAGAGCAATATTCCATACGCAGTGAACACCCAGCTAAAATGGGTGGCCACGGAGGAGCTGATTATCACATGATGAAATGTTTTATGGATTCTCTGAATGTAAGGCTGTCCTCTTAGTGTAAGATGCTGTTTATCCTAAATGTTCATGTCCATTTCTCGAAATTCAATATCAAAGAATGCTTTGTCTAGTCTTATGGCTCATAATTTATGATTTTATCTCCAACATTTGTTTTGTTTTCAATTTGAAAATGTCATGCATATAATATATATGAAATGATAATTACTAATAATTACTCTTTGCACCTCAAAGTTAATGATAAAAGATACCTAAAATTTGAAGTGCCCAAATGATGGCATATTAACCTGCTCTCCCTGTATTGAGATGAGGTGCTGAATAGATAGAATCCCCTCTAAGCTATCACATAAAATTCTTTTGGAGTTAGAGAAGATGACCGTGGTCCGAAGCATGATCAATTTGGATCAGATTGGACAGTAATGGCACTAGCTATTACACACTACAGCGGATTAACATCTGCTTTGCTTCTTCAAGTTTGACCTAGTAGTCCATACAGCCTTTTGCATTGCCTGTCCATCCATCCATCCGTCTGTGTGTCTTTCTATCTACTGTTTGCCTGTCCGTCCATCTGTCTGTCTGTCTGTCCATCCGTCTTTCAATCTGTTCATCAACCTGTTCATTTATGCACTTTTTTTCCTCGTATGTCAGGACATTGATGGCAAAGTGGCGACTGGACCAGAGGAGACTCTCAACAGCCATTTGCTGGTGTTTGCCGCGGAAAAAGCACGCCTAGAAAACCGTGTGGTTGAAATACAGCCTGATGGAACTTTCTAGCAATTACCTGCTAAAACAGCATTAGCAATGTTGATCTGTTGCATTTTCTTGAGAATTGTTGCTTTAAATCCAAACTTTTAAAAAAAAGTACTTTTTGCTCTTTTGTTTGGTTGTGTTCAGGTGATGGATTCATGGAGGTTCTAGTTGGAATGTAATTTTTGTGTGTAATTGATTTGATTTGTCACTACACAGAAAAGATGCAGCTTTGTAAAGCGATTTCCTGTTTATAGAGTGGTTGGGGTTTTTATCACACATGTATTCTACAAACGGGTGAACAATATTTTCAGTTTTTTCATCGCTAAGGTCATGGGTTCAAGCCTCAGGGGCTTGATGATGTGTTCTATGTAAAAGGCTCGGTACACAAATTTTCCTCATTTCACCCTGGCTATAGATAGTGAAAGGTTTTGTTAGTTTGTAAGATGTCTGAGTGCTTCATCGACTGCTTGCAATGTATGCTTCTCGGGAAGCTGAGAATGTTTCTCAATGTTCTAGGGTCTGCTGGAGTAATATTGTAGATCGTAAAGCACATACAGCATGTGGTTGAGCGATACAAATGTTATTTTTTATTATTTATTACATGTACTAGTACTATGCAAAGACAATGACAAACTGATGGGACGTAAGGGAAAAGTGTGGCACAGGTGGTTCTAGACCAGGTCTTGTTATATCAATGACTGTGGAGGCCCGTTTGTTGATTTTGCTTCGTCTAGAGAGTCATTTGGTGTGCCACCTTACACAGTGGTGGAGGCTACTAACGCTGTGTGATGGTTTATAGCTGTCACTTTTGTGAAGCAAACCGCTTACAAGTTAGGTGTTGCTGTAATGTTGAATATCAAAGGGAGATATTTTGTAAACTCAAGAAATGCAGCCTGCAAAATTAGTGTCATTTTGACAATATGGTGAAACCATGAACGTCATGCTTAAAAATTTGTCTGTTTAGCATTTCAGATTAATTATCCTGGATCTTGACATCAATGGGGCATAGAGTCTTGAGTTGTATTTAATTTTTGCCTGAATTCCATATTTCTCATTCAATAGATGGACTAGCCTAAATTGATCTGAACATGAAAATATATCTTCCTTTTCTGTCTGTACCATACATACGTATCTCACAAGCAGATGTATATATATATAGTCTTTTATATATATATAATAAGTCGCTGACACATTATTGAATGACTTCTTTTGAACCATCCATAATATATAGGAATTTCAGGTTTACTTAACAGCTTGGATTTGCGGAGCTACCTACTCTGTATACAGAAAAGAAAATCTTCACTTGTTTCTTGGTAACATGAAGATAAAATATATTTTCTTTGTAATGCAAATCTGTTTTCGAGTTTGTGATATTTTTCTACTTGCATTACTGCTGATATTGTCTGAATGTAATACTTACAGTTAGCACTTTTCTTGTGATAATTTCAATATATGAAATATACTTGCTGTTAATGTTTCCCCTGTGAAACTGATAAGACAAAGTCTTAGGTAATATTTGTAATCAATACTTTCCCTGTGATATGGGCTGAAGTCTCAAGGAAACACTTTCTGGTAAAGTGAAGCTGATGCTAGTTCACTTAATAACTACAGCAATGTTTCTGTTCTACTTTACTGTCTACAACCAGAAGTCTGACAACTATTGATGTTATACTAATCGCTACAAGACACATTTCTAGAATTTGTATTTTCACTCTGTGTTCATAAGGGCTTGAGACTGTCATTGGGCACATTAAAAAAGTTTTGGCAGTTGCAGCAGTGTTTGTGCTTCTAGGAGGGGGGGAGATGGTGGTTTCTTGAATTCAGTGCAACAGGCCAGGGTATTGGAGTGAAAGTACAAAAATGTACAAGATTATCCTGCGCAGGCCTTTGGGTAGAAAACATTAGGTAGACGGTCAGGTAGACTGTGTTCAGTAAACTTGGCTTATGGTAGGCCACATTATCGTAGTAGATGGTCAAGTGGACTGGCACCGGGAAGTTTTATATCATACCTGTTGTCTGTACCCTCTTCATGACCTAAAACTGAGCTTTCTGTTATACTTGCAGTTGTGGCACAGGATGAGGTTTGGTTTCCCCAGTGTCTCATTTTTACTGTAAATCCCTGTTTTAAATTGTAAAACACGAGAAGGGAAAGATTTCTGGCATAGATTTTAGTCATTCACTTGCTTTCGATGATGCAGCCATTGGCAGCAACTTAATGTGGTTCTTCTTGATGTTCTGTCTTGTATAAATGATTTGAATATGTTTTTACCCGAATTCCTTTATAAACATTCCGTGATTTTTGACAACATGATCAAGAATTCTTTCATGCTTAGGTGGCATTTAACTTAAACCTTATGAAAAAAATGACGCAAAGATGTAATTGTTCTCTGAAAAAAGTATATATATATATATATGCCTTTACAGAAACTGGGGCATGGGAAATAATTCTTGTGTCAACAAAAGTTACACATTTTTAATGTCTTTTAATGTGTTTTTTTTACTAAAGGTGTACAATGAATACTTGTGTTCATCACGTAAGTATATTTTAGACATGGTTTCTATCACTTAATCGTGTAGAAGTTTTCTGTATTTCTTGTTTTTTTAAAGTAATTTATCATCGTTCATAATGTTCAATTTTTTCATATCTGGCTGTGCTGGTTTCTTTGTGTTATAGGCCTACTTCAGAGTAGGATGTATTGATGATTTTTGTCAAGTTCATGCATAAATACTGCAGTGCCTTTTCCATTAAAAGCTCACATTATAAAGTTTTGCTCTGATTTTGTTTTTCTTCTGTCTATTCAGTGACATAATTTAATTTTGAACTTTCGATTGCTTTTTGTATGCTTCAAATAAAGTATTCAAAGAGAAATCAACCATGCGTATCAACTGTTATTATCAATCAAGAAGTAGGTGTCCTTGGCAGCTAGAATAATGTCTTCGGCTTCGTCATATTGTGGCCATTGTTTTCTTCTTTCTATTACTATTAGAAGCTTAATCTTATCACATTTTCTAGCACACAGCTGTTCAATTTCATGCCCCTGAGAGCAGCATGGTACGTAACGACCTACACTTCTTCTACCCACCCAGATAACTGTATGAGTTGCGAGCGCTACGTAATACCTTACTAAAACAAAGCCAGATGGATAATAAACTGCTGCATTAGGTCAGTTCCACTCATCGATCCTTATAGCTTTATATGGTGGCTACTCGCTGTGGTGTAGGCACAGATTTTTGGAAAATTTCAAATTACCCCAAAATGTTAAACATACTATTTTTAGTAGACTTATAATGCTTAGGCTTATCCCCTTTCTACACACCCCAACCAAGGAGTGGTGATATCACATAAAAAGAAGTTCATTATCTCACAGTTTATGTTTGAGCCTTTCTTCTACTTCAGAGCGACCACTCGGTTACCTCACCTTGATAGGCCTAGTGAGTAAACAAATCCTGTGCCTTATCTGATAGCGCAATACGTGCGCCATTACGCATTATTATGATCATTCTCCCAATCCTATACGTTCTTACTACCGTCTAGTCCCAATCCCAACCAAGCTCTCGTTGATTCTTGTGACTGGTCAACCAAATTACGCAAGCTGATCCTTGATCTCAGCGCCAGAAGCTTAATTCCGTTGTACCCTTCTTTGATTCTGACAACAAAAACTCTAGCTATGCCGACAAAAGACTGCCGGCCTCAGAAGAGCTTGATCGGCTGTTTGCTGACGTGGAGGCGCGATCTACCCAAGCCCCTACCGACACTTTCGCCAAATTTCACATTCTCATCCGCATCCGACAAAGTACTCCGTAGTCTGACGCAGTACATAATTTAGAAGAAGAATAATGATGCAGGCTTTGTCGAGACCACATATTAACATGATCAGTGGTGGGGTGCCTTTGGTGCAAGCAAGCGCTCCACCTAACCCTGGCTTTCCTTTACCCCCCCCCCCTTTGTAATTATTCTAAACCAGTCTGTGCAGTCAGTGCTCTAGATCTACATACTAGATCTAGTACTGTAGTACTGGCCTAGGCCTACATCCTTGCGATCCGTCACCCGCTGGCAGCGCGCGCGCGCCAGTGAAGAGACAGACGGCGAGGAGGGTTTATGCTTGTCGCACCGCTTGCGGTCGTGTCTGCTGGGAGCAAGCAAAATCTTTGCACCAAAGTTATTTTTGTCACTGTAGAGAAATCTAGGCATCGTTCTTCCCCCACAAGAAGAAAGGTGCGTGAAACTCCTCTTTGCAACGCCAATATGGTGCAAGCTAAAAATTTGATCCAAGTTTCCGCTAGGCTACTTGGCTAGCATCTACTAGCCTACACTAGAGTCAACGGTAACTCAGTGAAAAATGGGTATCGAAACTGTTGTCTCCCTCTATTGTATAGCAAGTCCTGGACAGTTATGGTAAATTTTCAAATTGAGTCTGGTTGTTGGTGCTGCACGAAGTAGATCTATTTTAAATCTTCTCAGATTGTGAGCATGGTGAGTTGTTAGTATTGTTTCACTTTATTGCAGCTTTTATGCGGTTTCATCTAGAAACAGTTGTAAATATCGAAAGATGTAGATCTAGATTACGGGATATCTTGCAGATTCTAACTGACTTTCTCTAGAAATCTAGATGAATCACGTTAACGCTTTTGCTTCTTGTGCCATTCAGCAGGCTAGTTAGAAAAGAAAGTGCGCATAAAAGAGCTTGGTCCTCATTAGCCGCGGGATTTTGAGCTCAAGAATAATGTTCGCTCTTTTTCCTGAACGTAGTATGATAAGTATGAATGGTTTACGCTGAGCTTGTCCAAAAAGAAATTGTACTGTTTCCATTGTCTGCTTATTACTGATCGATCAGACACTGACAAGGTTTGGTCATCAATCACACTCACTGTTTCTTTGCCTTTCTCTCTCTCTCTCTCTCTCTCTCTCTCTCTCTCTCTCTCTCTCTCTCTCTCACACACACACACACACACACACACACACACAAACACGCACAGAGAGACGCGCAGAAAGCAATAGAAAGAACAGACCACACCCGAGCGCCCGCCTTCCGCTCATTACAATTTTAATAGTAGCTAGTAAACCTATTGCCCATTTGTTCACTTTTCAATTATGCACCACCTTGTCTGCAACCCACGCGACGCCACTGAATATGATGTAATATATGCAGAGGTAGCCTGGAAGGGGGGGGGGGGGGGATAACACGGTTTGTAATAAAAATCCGTTCATCTAGCGCTAATTTATAACTCGCTGTCTAATTCACATGCACGCGATTCTGTCAGTTGTCGATTGTAATCGATCATGAACTGATCACTCTGCCATGACGGGATTACGTCATGTACTGTGTCGTGCCGAATTGATCCCTCCTTTCCCTTCTCTCCGACCACTTCACACTTAACTAATGTCAAGCTCTTAATTAAGCCTCCCCCCCCCCCCCCCCCCCCCCCCCCCCTCCCCACATAAATAATGGCGACCCCTTTATAACCGCCCCCCCCCCCCCCCCCCCCCGCGCCCTTTCAAATCCACTACAGGAACTCTCGCATATTATATAAAATCGTTCTTAAAAAGAAAGATGGTGACAGAGAAAACGAGAGTGAAAGATAATCGGTCGCTTTTAAGCGCAAGGGCGTTATCCCGAAAAAAGCTCTTTTGAGAAAATCGAAGGTAAAGTTTTTGGACCCTTGGTCAGCTTTTTTTTTTAAATGAGAGTTTTCTCTATCAAACAAATACTAAGCACAGCAATGAAGCCAAACTTCTCCTTATATAAATAGGTAGGGCAATGCCCACTTTTGGTGTAGGTCAAGATTTCTGGAAACCCCCGACATCTGGGTTAACACCCCTGTCCTTAAAAGCGACCATCGTATTGTAAGTTATAACATTCTTCAATGGAGTAACGGTGGAAGAGAAAAAGACACCTTTGAAAAGCGAGAGGGTGGGGGGCAAAAGAAATAAGAAATGTCAAATTGGGGAGTGGTGTCTGAGAATGGTGGAGTGCTGGGAAAGATGGAGGAGGACGGGGAGGGTCACAGACAGAGAAAGAATGCATAAAACTAAAAGATGAGAAGATGGACAGACAGTACTGTTAAGGCGAATTGAGAGACAAAGTAGCGCCAGAGACAGTCTGAAAGAGACAGAACGAGAGGGAGAAAGACCGTCCAAAATGAGTCTCCCGTGAAGCTACATGTACTACTGTAGTTAGTTATGCCTTAAAAGTCACATCAGTGAAGAAGAAGGAGGAGGAAGAGGGAGAAGAAGAAGAAGAAGAAGAAGAAGAAGAATTATGGTTGGTCGTGGACTTTCAGTAAACCAATCGGGCTCACATGGGAAAGGCGGGTATATAAAGCACCATATTGCCTCTTCGCTGCCGCTATTATATGCGTCTGGAGGACGTTGCATCCTTCTGCCATCTTTGGAGAGTTAATTGACAGAGGAGGAAACAAATTAAGTCCCACTTCGGAAAGACGCAGCGCTGCTTGGTCATCTTTGAATGTAATTCCTAGGACTACGGTACGGATGTCTCGCTCCGAATAAAGCTGAGGATTCCAACTCGATGAACTCGCTTGCGGAAAAGCAGCAGGAAATGACAACATACCTGCTGAAGTGCTGAAAGAGAACAAAGAGACCCTCCTCCCATATCTCTACAAGCTACTTAAGACTTGTTGGCTGAAAGCAGAAATTCCACATGACATGAGAGACTCCAAAATCACCACCCTCTACAAAAACAAAGGGGACAAATGAGATTGCAACAACTACAGAGAACAACTATCTCACTGCTAAGCATCATCCTAAAGCCTAAACCGACTTCAGAAACTATCAAAAAGAGTCCTACCAGAGAGCCAATGTGGTTTCTGATCAAACCGCTCAACAATGGACGTGATCTTTTCTATTCGTCAGCTAAAAGAAAAAAGCAGGGACCAACAACTGCCATTACATACTGCGTTCGTCGATCTGACAAAGGCTTTTGACACTGTCAGTAGATCAGGAATGTACATGGTGCTTGGTAAAATTGACTGTCCCCCAATACTGCTACAGCACATTATTTCATTCCACGAGGATATGATGGGCACCATTCAGTTTGACGGTTCAGCATCAAACAGCTCCAACATCAATAGCGGAGTAAAGCAAGTTTGTGTCTTAGCACCAACCCTTTTTAGCACCTATTTTGCTGTCTTACTGCTACACGCATTCAAAGAGTCACCAGAGGATGTCTTCCTCCACTGGAGAACTAATGGGTCGCTCTTCAATCTTGCTCGACTCCAGGCCAAGACTAAGATCAACAAAACAACAGTACGAGACCTTCTCTTCGCCGATGATGCTGCTCTTGTTGATCACATTGAATCAACCCTACAAACAATGATGGACCACCTATTAACAGCTTGCAAGGCCTTTAGCTTGGGCATCAGTGTTAAGAAAACAGTCATCTTTACTCAAGAAGGTGCAGAGCAGAGCCATAGATGGCTGAACGACAAGGAACTTGAGACAGTGGACAAGTTCTGTAACCTGGGGTCTACAATCAGCACTACTACATCACTTGATTATGAGATCAACATCAATATACGGAAAAGCAGCAGCAACCTTTGGAAGGCTGACAAAACGAGCATGGGAAAAAAAACAACCTACCAAAACCAAGATCAAAATTTACGAAGCGATATGTCCTCAGCACACTCCTTTATGGATCTGGAACACGGACCTTGTACAGCAGGCAAGAAAAGCGCCTCGACATTTGCCATCTCAGATGCTGCAGCAAGATCTTAGGCATTTCGTGGCGTGACAAGGTTACAAGAAGTGTTGGCACGGGCAAACCTCCAGAGCATGACAACCATCCTGTGTTTGAAAAAGTTGAGATGGCTGGGCCATGTCAAGAAAATGGACGATAACCGAATTCCGAAGCAACTTCTTTATGGAGAACTTGCCCAGGGAAATATAATAGACCAAGAGGACGACCAAAGTTGAGGTATAAAGACACCTGCAAAAACAGCTTTTCTAAGCTTGGAGTAGATGTTAGTATTTGGGAAGAAATAGCCGAGGACAGGAAAACATAGAGGAACATGATAAAGGAAAGAACTGTAATGCTAGAGAGCAGTCTTAGAAACAACCAGGCTGAGAAGCGCCAATACAACGAAAGAAAAACAGCTTCGATCCGCGTCACTGACATGCAAGCACTGCGACAAAATCTGCGCTTCAAACATAGGAAGTAAATTTTAGCCATGAAAGAAGCTGCAGGAAGACAAACTTGAAACCATCTAGCTTAAGCTAAATTGACCGTCTGCATAGACGAGAGCCGTAGATAGATAGATAGATAGATAGATAGATAGATAGATAGATAGATAGATAGATAG